AGACAGGATTGTAAGAAAAGGTTCAATAAACAAGCATGGCCGGCATTGGAAAGGCATCGACATTATGGTCTTCAACACGTATCTCTGGTGGATGACAGGCCTCAAGATGAAGATCTTGTATTATTGTCTTAATCTTAATTTACATTCACATTAATTACTTACCATAGTGCTTTGTTTTTTAATCTTAGTATTTCAAATTTTTGCGCAGAAAAGGGTCTTTTGATGATGATGATAAGGAGATAGTTGAGGTCACAATAGAGGATGCATACCGTATGGCAATGAGAAGTACGCTGAGATGGGTGAGGAAAAACATGGATCCCAAGAAGACAAGGGTCTTCTTCACCAGCATGTCTCCTACTCATGCAAAGTAAGTAAAATTACCAAGAAAATGGCATAGAAGTTAATTATAATTGATTAAATAGCAACTATTTTTTATTCTTGGACTTAATTGAAACTAAGTTGATGATGGAACATATATAGGAGTATGGAGTGGGGAGGTGAAGAGGCGAAAAACTGTTACAATGAAACAACATTGATAGAGGATCCAACATATTGGGGATCGGATTCTAGGAAGAGCATAATGAAAGTGATCGAAGAAGTGTTCAGTCAATCAAAGTTTCCCATTACATTCCTTAACATCACGCAGTTGTCCAGTTATCGAAAGGACGCACACACCTCCATTTACAAGAAGCAGTGGAGTCCACTAGCTGAAGAGCAGCTGGCCAACCCTGTTAGCTATGCTGATTGTGTGCACTGGTGCTTGCCTGGCCTTCAAGATACTTGGAATGAGCTTCTCTTTACCAAGCTCCTCTATCCTTGACCTCACGTAACAACGTTGAAAATAAAATAATCCTACTAAGTGATTACATTGATTCTTTTTCCTGCTAATTAAGTTTTATTACTGGTGGCTTATGTCCCATTTCCAGGTTCAATTGTGAAGGTCTGTCTATTAAAAAAAAAAAAAGTGATATCATATGAACTATATAATAAGTCAATAATAATTCATCACACCATCAAAAATATATTGTATATATTATTATATGTAATGTCATGCAAACCTAAAGAATAAATATAAAATGCACCTTTGTCTCACGCCCCAACGGTCATAAGTTAACTTGTAAGGTGAATCTCCTTAGTCCGAGGATTGGGGTTCGATTCCTTCTTCCCCCATATTTGTAATTTTATTCAAAAAAAAAAAAATTATGAAACTTGCTTTCTGATTTTTATTTTTTATTTTTTGGGGTATTTTGATGAATGTGTTTTTAACTACTTTCCGTTCACATTAATTTTTTTTTTTTTAACAATTACAAAGGTACATCCTACAAATCCATTTGGTCTATTTTATGAAATATATATAAATATTTTTAAATACTAACATTGAGACTCAAACTTTGAGTTTTGAGGTTTATAAGAATAAAACCCACCTCCTTATTTTTCTTTTACATATTTTATTCTCGTACCATACTCACGCAGTCATACCACATGTCTTGATGTTATTATGTCAAGTACATTTTGAACAAGGCATCAGCAGAGCAGTCCTCAATTTGTTAGAAGCCCAAATATGATGGCCTGAACTCTGAATAGACCTAAAAGAGGCCATAATTTGAACAAGACTGTCTCAGAAGCCCAATCACCCTAAAGAGAATAGTGGACCATTGGGCATTGGTGATTTTCTCCATCAGAAGCCCAAACCCCGCAGTGACGTTAATTTGGAGCCCAGCAGTAAAAGTGGCTGTTGATTACAAGAAGCCACCAGCCGGCGTCTTCTGGACAATGGTTACTATTTAATTCATTTAGATTATTAACAATTGTTGAATTTTTATTTTAATTTAATTATTAAAAATAATTGTAAAATAATTAATATTTATTATTTAATAAATTAAAATAAATTTATAAATAAACATGTTCAGATATCATAATAACTGTTTTAAAAAATTATAAATTAATAAAATTATAAATAAAATTGATAATCTTAATAATTTAGATGGTAGCAATAATCTAGTCCTGCCTTCTTTCTGAGTTTTTGCCATTTTCTCTCCCACCGAAAATTGTTTAATTTGTTCGAATAAATGTAAGAAGAAATTACCCCACTTGCATGATTGTTGTTAATTGAAATTCAAATCAGACAGAGAATATCTTATGATTATTGGGTGATCAAGGGATTTTGATTGAAGATCCAAACAACGTATGGCTGAATTATAGCTATATAATTGGGGTTTGGTGCAGGAAAACCAATTTTATAAGCAAATAATTTCTTCATTTGGGTGTTTGAGTGTGTCCTTCACTAGGGTCTATGCTGTGTACATTAATTTAACTCTGAGGCAATTCATAAAATAAATTTTTATTCTAAAGATTGCTTGCCCAAATCTTGAAATGTTAAACCGATATAGACAGATGATCGACTTAGATTAAAGGACAACATTTATAGTGCTAAGATGTTGAATTCAACAATAAGTAAACATTCTTTTATAGGTCAGTTTTAAAGATTTAGTTTTGACTCTTTTGAGGTTATAATTAAAAAAATTAATTTTTTTAATATGTTAATTATTTAAGATTGCTTAAAAATTAATTTCGAAATATAAAAAAATTGACTTAAAAATATTTTGATTGTCCAAATTAAAAAAGAAAAATTGGAGTTTTAAATGGTTTTTTTCTTCTCTTTTTTTTTTTCCTCTTTTTGGAAATGGGACAATTATACATACTTATTCTCAAACTCAAACGGATATAAGTCCTCTCAGTAGATAATTTCACTTCATCAAAAAAAAGAAAAAAAGAAAAAAAGAAACTTTCTTTCTTACTTTTTTTTGTTTGTCAATAAGTGCCATGTGATGAGTCTAGTTAATTAGTCCATATATAAACTCCAGCTAAGCCGGTTATATACTCAACATATAAAAACCCAACAAGGCAACAACAATGAAGAAGAAATGCCACCAAATACTCACCTAAACCCAATTAAACTAAATTAGTACAATAGCTACCAATAATTATCATTAGATGTTAATAAAAAAATAAATATTATTTCTTTATTTCCAATAAGTTTTCTTTTTTTCCTTTTAGGAATAACATTTTTTTTTCTACAAAAGGTCAGTTTGTCTGAAAGATTATTAACCTCACTCATATGATCTCTCATTCATTAAAATATGTCACAGTACATGCAGTGGGTAGTATTAAACAATTGTTCACTTGGTTTAATTACTCATAATTTGATTACACGCAATGATTAACTCGATCTTGAATAAATAATTTGGACAATACAATCGTGAATCACCATATCGATATATATATATATATATATATATTATGGTAGTATATAAAAATAATATAATATTTTTGCCGACAATTAACTACCCAAATGACCATCAAAATATTCAAACAGTTAATGTACGATCAAATTAAATTTCTAACATCTTCAAGAAAACAAAATTCAAACTAACAGACACATGCACTAAACAACTGAGCATATATATATATATATACCATAAAAAGAAAGCGAAAGGGAGAGAAATTAATTAGCCAAAAGATGAAGACGCCTCTTTCTTCTACATCTTCTTTCTCTACTCGTAATGCCCGTCCACCACCATACCTCTTCATATTAATAGCTTTCGTTGTCACGGTTGCCGTCCTCTATGCCCAGGACTTCATCTTCAGTCAACTCGCACTCAATCTGGACCAATCCCTCTCCAGAACCGGTGAGTCGTCTTTGCTAACTAATTTATCCATCAAACGGAAAAGTCCACCTTTTTTTCATTTAATTCCTTAGTTTTTGTATCACTGAATTGGCCACTCGTTTTTGCGTATGCAGATAAGCTCCCATTCGCCATCGAGAGGACGGAAGAAGGGTGTGATGTATTCAGTGGGAGATGGGTGAAGGACGAGCTGAACCGGCCGATGTATGAAGAATCGGAGTGCCCCTACATACAGCCGCAGCTGACGTGTCAAGAACACGGCAGACCGGATAAGGAGTATCAGTATTGGCGATGGCAGCCCCACGGCTGCTCCCTTCCCAAGTAAACACACACACACAATTCATATACTCTTTCTCCTTAGGTGATATTATTACCATGTATGTTAGAGTGTTACACTGTTATTTGTCTAAAATATTACATTTTTTTATTTAATTTTTTTTGTTATTTAACTTATTTTATTATTTTACTTGTATATATATTATAAATTTAAATCTAAAACTTCCTACTTTTTATTTAAAAAGAAATTATTATTAAAATATTTAAATGATAGATTATTGCACTTTTGCTTTTATTTCTATTATTTAATTAAGAAGTTTTTGAAAACATTATTCTCGCTAATCTTTCATTGACTCATAAATCATAGAATTCAAAAAATATTTATTAGCACCACGTTATCATTTTAGGATGTTGGCGTGAGAATAAGTCAAAAGCGTTAAAAAAAAAAATCTCAAGCGTACTCTTTTTCAACAATCATACCACATTAGTTTGGTTTACTGTAAAAATTATTTATTTATTTAAAAAATAAGTTATTTAAAATTAAATTCATCTAGCTATGAGGTGAACCAATAATTGAGAGATTTCTGTCGGAGAGAGAGTGATTGTGTGTCAGTGTGTGTGTGTGTTTTTTTTTTTCATTTTTAATCAAATACGTAGTTTGGGGCAAAAAGATCACCGTTGTTTTTACTTTTCAGTTCCGTAATTTCCGTTGTTTGTTTGACTAAACAGCCCTATACAGTAGGTGGGTACCAACGATTCTGCCACGTCTGTTGAATTTGTTGTAACGTAAATATAAATATATATATTTTTTATAAAATAATTCAATTTATTGAAATTTTAATAAGAAAGAAAGGGAAAAGAAGAAGAAGAAGGAAGAATGAAGATTTAAACCTTAATTATTTGGGTAAAAGAGTGTCTTATGTCAGTTATTTTATAAGTTTTTATTTTATAAATAAAAATTTTAAAAATTGATTATTAGTAGTAATTAATTTAATTAAAATTTTTTAAATATTTAATTATCATACACAATAAAAAAAATAGTCTTTTTTTTTAATAAAAAATTTTATCACAAGATTTCTACCTTCTGAATTATTTTGGTGGAACATCCCCCTAGAGTACGTACTTATTTAATTGAACTAATTACTTGTTGTATTTGTTGTTACTTTTCAAGGTACTGCAACAGAAAGATTAGAAATTGATTTGTTTCGCAAGCAATTAGAGAATGAGTTGAACATCTGTTAACAATTTAAACTTTCATTTTTTTTCCTCTTGCCCACATTGACAATTATTGATCCTAACAAAATATTCCACAGCTTTAATGCAACACTAATGTTGGAGACACTAAGAGGTAAAAGGATGATGTTCGTGGGAGACTCGCTGAATCGGGGTCAGTTCGTCTCCATGGTCTGTCTTCTCCACAGAGTCATTCCCGATCATGCCAAATCCATGGAAACATTTGATTCTCTCACCGTCTTCACTGCCAAGGTCTTTTTAATTAAATAGATATTATTTTTTACGTATTAATTTGTTTCGTTCATCGCTTTATCTATTTTCATAAATCATACTTAGGTTTTGTT